CACGTGCCTGAGGCACACGGTCAGGCAAGCAGGCAGGCAGCCAGGGCTCACACGAGAGCTGGGGGGCTGGGCATGCGAGAGCGGCTGTTTCCACACTGGCAGAGTAGGAGCTGCTAACCTAGAAGCAATCTGCTGGGTTAACATCAGGGGAGTGACTTGTCTTAGCCCAGAATGAAGTAGAAAAGAGCCAAGCAGGCTTCACAGAATATGGATGGGGCATGCCAGGGGTGGGAGTAGGCAGGGGAGAATGCCGTATTTTTTTTGGAGGGAAGGGGACTGCATGAAATGCATCCCTACTTGGACAATAGGGGCTGGGAACCCAGGCTTTCCCCAGTCTCATGCCACTGACATCCTAACACAGCTCTCTGCCCTGCACAACCATATGCCATACTCTGAGCCATGCTTTCTAGAGTGTCATCTTATTTAATCCTGCAAAAAAAAGAAAAAAAAAAAAAAACCCTGGGAGAGGGATTTATTCTATTTATGAGTAAACTGAGGCATAAAAAGGTTAATGAATGGACACAAATTTGCACAGCAGGCCAATGTGGGTCCAGGACAAGAACCCAAGACCCTGGATCCAGAGTTTATGCTCTTAACCACCAAGTTTCCCCATTATCCACACCGATCAGAAAATCCCCCCTTCCAGAAGGCTAGGAAATGCTCTCCTGGGAATATTAACAACAGGATGAAGCTAAGGAACAGGGCAAGCCTGTCCTCTCCAGGGTGTGGTGGAGAAGACGGACTCTTACCAGAAGCAGAAGAAAGTCTGCCTGCTTCCCTAACAGCAAGCTGGCTCCCCTCCCTGACGGCTTTGATCCTGATGAATGAAAAGCGCTTCCAAGATACTCAGGTGCAAGGCACAGCAACCATCAATCTCTGCGCGCCCAACTTGCAGACAATTGCGGTGCTGGGGGGAGAAGAGATGACAGCACGCCCTCGAGGGGAGACAGAAACCAGAGCCTCATCACAAGATGTTGGGAAAAGCAAAAGAATCCTGATGCCTCAGCAGGGCCTCCCATCACCCCAGAAGCCTCTTCCATCATTCATTACTCAGGCCCCACAACCAGCATTCTCCTTCCATGCCAAAACCTTGTCACAAAGGAAGGTCGGTGTAAATGGAGCACAAACCCCAGCTCACAAAGGTAGAGAGCTCTTCTGACCTCCCCTCCTGCAGCTCTCATGTGCCCATGGCCTTCTGCACACCACCACATGCAGGGGCTTGCACTTCACTCTGTAACTAGCCTGCAGCCCGTCTCTGTGCTGAGAACTGGACATAGGGCCTTCTTAATTCTCAGCTGAATATGGGCCCAGCAGTGGCAGGACACCCCTAAGCTAGTCAAAGAACCACCACCAGAAGAAATGATTTCAAATCAGACTTTACAAGCCTGTGACTTAAAAATAACTCTGCCTTTGTCTGCTATAGATGACTTTCCCTTAAGGGACTGCTGTCCTTAAAGCAATCGCTTGATTCTCGGGGCAAACAGACTCTTATTTTTCCAGTACCCAGTGCATACCTCCAGGGGAGCACTCCTGGGTGCCACCTCTGAGGGCATCCGGGTGCAAACATCAAAGCAGTCGGGATGACTTCTGCCACCCTTGGTGGCTCGGGAACATCCAGGATGCTGCCCTCAGGTGACTAAGAAGCCTGCGCAGGTGACAACCACATCTGACACTGTTCTTCTAGTAAGACATCAGCCCAGAAACCTTAGCCATCACCCCAAAAGCTGCAGGAAGTTTTGATGGATGACTGCATTATTTCTTCAAGGAAAATGGTATTTCTTCACATAACTGATTCATTCTTTGATTAGATAGCTAGATAGAGGAGTAAGAACAAGGGTGCAAAACAGGAAAGGGGTCAGGATAAATAGTATGTGAATTTATGAAGTGCTGACCTTGTCATTCAAGTACATGTCTGGGGTGGACTAGACATGCACATTTGTCTTATGGCTTCATTTCCTCTCAAGCACACAAGTAGCACGGATGATGCTATGAAGCATAACTCAAAAGATGCATGCTGAGCAAATAGCAGAAAACAAATAAATGTTCAATAAAATTGCTCTGCAATTATCTCCTGATTCAGCCTGATGTCTTAGTTTCACCAACTAAAGGTGTATCACTATATTCTTATTAACATTGTATTTCTTTTTGGCAACCTAATGTCTCCTGACCTTCTCAATATTTTTACCATAAAACACTACAGGAGGCAAAAAAATATCCATGTATGTGACAGGATCCTGAATTAAGCTGTTTCTGCTGCCTAAATTTAAAGTGTAGATCAGTAGTTATTAATGGGGTGACTCTGTCCCCCAGGGGAAGATCTGCATGAGTGGAGATGTCACAGCTGGAGAGGGGAAAGGTTTACCAGTATCTAGGGGATAGAGGCCAGAGAGGCTCTAAACATTGTAGAATGCACAGGACAGTCCTCACAACAGACTTCACCAAGCCTCTGCCAAGGTTGAGAAATCTAGATGGAAATCATACAATTCCCAGAATCCTAAAGGCTACACCTACACTCTTCTCTTCTGGGGATTTGTTTCCATTTGGATTAACTTAGGATTTCTCTTCTGGTCATTACTGTGATTACAGAATAAGATCAAGAACTTTCTCCTTTTTCAGATTTACTTTGATATACCCGCCCCCCGCCCCCAATCAGGTTCACACCCCCTAGTACTTTTGTGTTGTTGTTTTTATTTTTTGGCATTGTAATCCTTATAAAGATCAACACTGTATGAACACAGTGCTACTTCATTTGAGTTCAGGATTTGCAGAAGAGCTTTAACTCATTTTCTTTCTTATTAGGAGTATCATTGGGTTTTCAGTTCAAAAAAGAAAATTATTTTGAAGTGTGCTTCCGCCACTATCATACAAGATACTGAAATAAAGAGCTTATTACTAGATTCTTGTGCCCCTTTAATCCTGGAGTCTTTTTTCTATAACTAAATGGTGAACACCAGAACCCAGGAATCCTTTTCACGGGACTGCAACTCTGACAGTGGCTTCCCAAGTTCCTGTCACTGATAAATAGATTCAAATGAGCTCTGACAAAGGACTTTTAAGGAAACTTCAAATGTAGGAAGTCCCTAAGTTCCCCTTAGGAATTAAGGGGTAGGAGCCCAATATGGCGTGCCTCTTGGGGAGAAAAAACAGTTATTTCTAAATGTGTCACACATCCGTTCTTTGCAGGGGGCTGAGAAATATGTGTCAACTGAGTATAAGTGTCACGTTTAGAACATAACTACTGGTTAAAACCAGTACTGGTCAATAACTACTGGTCAAAAGTTCCTGATATTTCTCTCCAGAAGGAGGCATTATAGACTGTAACTAACTACTTTAACTGTAACTAACACTTCAGATGGTAGGGATTGAAATTAAAAATGATAAAAAGTGGATATAGATATAACAGAGATCATAACCGCTCTCGTTAAAACAGACCATTTAGTGCTAGTCATTTCACTCTTCGTGCATATTATCTCTAACTTGCACAATAACCCAATTAAATAGAAATTACATCCCTCCACACACAGGGAAACTAAGGCTCTAAAAGGTCACATCATCTTCAAAGTCACACCTCTCCAAAGCAGTGTCACCGTGCAGAGCTGCAGGACAGAGTCACCACTGTCCTTCCCCCTGGTTTTGCCCATTTTGAATGGTCACTTATGCTGCTGGTGGCTCCTATGAAAAACTGAAGACAATGGTACTGTACATTCTAAGGAACAGGGGCTCAGGTTCACATCAAGGAGTGTTTCCCCAAGTTTCTGCAGCCACCTGGGGTCAAGGGGTTAAGACTTAAGTCCATTCTAGCCAGCAGCCTTGAACGATAGCCTTGAAACTCAAAGCGGGTTTAGGAGCAGGGGCCAGTACAGAGATCTGAAAGGGGAGCACCTGAACTCCAACACTAATATTTCAAGGCAGGAGTGTTCTCTTCTTCCTCTGCATCACTTCCTCCCATGTTAATCTCACTCTGTCAGAGAACTCGACACAAATAGAGGGCATGGGATCAGGAATGATCTCTAACACAAGTCTCCCATTGTCCTGCCTTCTGTCCTCCCTCGCGGCCAAGGCCCTGAGCTCAGCGACCTTCCTGATGATTTATCTGACTGGATCTTTGTTCCTGGTCACCTGTGCGCATGAAATGATCTTCTCCTTGTTGTTTTGTACTGCAGGGTGCTAACGGCATGAAGCCAGAGCTGCCTGGAACTGGGCTTATATCTGAGCATTTAGTAATGGATTCTGAAGCTCTGGTCCTTCCAGGTGATGCTTCTGTGATCTATTTCAACACCGTTTACAGTCCACTTTGTGGTCCTGCAGGCTTTGATAAAAGTAAAGTCACAGCAATTTGGTTTATAGGGATAGTGACGGCGGGGGGTGGGGGGGCTGCTGAAGCAGACTAAGCCTTTCTCAAAATGGCAACTGTTTTTAGATTCAACATCTCAGTCAATAACACAGGATAAAAAAGCTTCATCCTGGCCCTACAGTCCTAAGTCACAGGTGTTGGGTTGTTTTTTTTTTTTTTTTCCCCTTCAGGTCAGAGAACAAATGTAGGTAAACCACAGCCTCATAGAGTCTATTCAAATCATTCAGCAAGATCCTGTTTTCTGTATATTTGGGGAATGAAGAAAAGAGACAGGAGATGAGATAGATGCTAAATTATTCAAATCATTAACTGTAGGCTGGTATTTCTTAAACTGCAATCCTTGGATCTGCTGCATCACAATCTTCCCAGGTAGCTGGTTAAAAATGCATGTTGCGGAGTCCTCACTCCAGATCTGAAAAATCAGAATATCTAGGGGCGGGTCCATAGGGTTCACATTTAGCTTTGTCTAAATGTCTTTGAGTGAGATGGACAGTCACTGATGGGGGGCTGCCACTGTTGTGGGTGAAATACAACACTCCTCTTTTGGGGTGTGTTAGAGTCTCCCCCATTGTGGTTTATGCCACCTCACCGGCCCCTCCCCCTTCATCCTGCCCCCACCTGAAGGGAGAACCTTCTGAGAGTTTACCTGGTCTGATGGGGCTCTGCATACAGTTCGGGGATGGGATGCCAGGGTGAAGGGGTGCAGAGGCCCGACTGCTGAGGTCCATGACGGAGGGGGCAGCGGAGGAAGTTGGCTGCAGCCCGGGAGGGTGCGGGCTGTGGTCATGCTGAGATGGGCTGGGGGGGATGCCGTTTTCTGACAAAAACTCCTCCAGGTCCATGTATTCCAACTGGAAAGTGTCTCCGTCATAGGGGAGGGTTTTGTCCCATAAGGTGGGTCCCAAGAATGCTGACTGGGGGACCGTCGGGCTATTGCTCTCATCATCCAGCTTCTTCTCCTTGTCTTTGTCTTTACAAAATGCTGCAGAAAAAGGGGAAAGTTGGATCTTAAAAAGGAAAAAAAAGGTCGCTTTCTGACCACCCCTCCTGGCCTCTGCTACAAAATGACTTCTCAAAACACCAGGATTCTCTGGCCGTTGGCTTTTGTGGATCTAGAGTTAAAAGTTCAGGCAGGACATGGATCTCTGCCTGTTTTTCAACATCCTCCTATTTACTTTGGAAAGAAAGCATTAGTCCTTGGGACAGAGCTGCAGACTGATGTAGGATATAAACAGGAGAACAAGGTCATCAGTGCCTGATTTGAGGAGACAGTTTAAACCTGCAGTGGGAAAATGGCACCTGAAATTTCATACCACTATCGTGACTTTGGAGGAAAAAACCAATAACCAGGCGAGATTTATCTTCTAGGAAACTCATTAGAGTAACAACATGAGTGCATTCAGACTGAGATTCTGATTCTGATCAAGCAGAAACTCTCCCTCCGTCCTTGATGCCATGTATTCAGCATCCGCTCCAAGCCACATATTACCTCCAAAGTTTCAGAATAAACTTGCCAACAGCTACTATCCCATTCCCCATGAAGCACTGGAGGTTCTGAGACTTGAGGAACTTGATGATGCCTCACTCACATTGGCAGAGAAGAAAAAAAGAGAACTTCCTAAACCATTGGAGTACATTGTATTTCACAAAAGGAACTTTTTTAAAAAAGTAATACAGGATGTTTTCTTCTTCCAATTTCCCAAACATGCACATGTGATCCAATTCACAAAAATGATACACGTATGCTAAGCATGCAAAGCAAGCACTGAAAAGGTGATTACATATCTGGGACTGTGGTGCACAGCTATTTTCCACCCATTAGGTCTTCACCAGTGTGCTGGATTTTGCCAAATCTAGTACTCCAGGGACTGTGGAATCTGGGATTAGGGATTTGGCTTCTGAGTTTCTACTTTGAAGATGCACAGCCTCCACCTCCATCCTTTCTTATCCCGTACAGTCTCTGCTGTGAATCTGACTTAAAACACCCACAGAATTCAAAAGGCTGCAGGCAGCACCTTGCTCCCCGGAGTGCTACTCCTTAAAGGAGAGTCAAGAGGGAGGCTCTGCCATGCAAGTCTGCGAAGCAGGCACCTCAACTCTTGCAATGCAACAGGTAGTCCCCCGCTAGCAAAGCAGATGCGAGTACTCCCAAGCTATTTGTAGCCGCATGATCTTTCAAGACTTTACACGCTGAGCCTCACGGCTCGCTACTGTGATAGCCAAGGCATGAAACCACACCAGCCCAAATGACAAATTCCTGGCGACACTAGCTGGGTTCAACACGTCCTTGCACCACCCCGCCCCTCCCGCTACAGCCAAGGTTGCCTGGGGAAGGTTCGGGACTTACCAAGAAAGGGCTCGAGCCAGAGGAGGCTTCTGCGCAGTTACACGTGAGCCTGCTCCGCTCTCCCCTCCCACCAGGAAAAGTGCACCGGGAAAGTGTCAGCTCTGGAGGCGTGCACCGCTTCCCGCCGGGAGACCACTCCCCCCGCCAGCCCCAGCCCCCACCCCGCTTTCGGAATCACCCTCCACCGGAGAAGCGGCTCCTCTCACGCCTCCTGAGTTCCAAAGACTAGTAACAAACAACAGCAGCAAGACCGAGCCCCCCGCCCAGCAGGGTGCACAGTGAGACCCGCTCCCTCACCCCCAGGACCTTCTGGTTTCTCCTCCCGAGCCCAGGCTCTGCCTCTCGCAGGCGGTTTCACTCTGCGTGCGGGTTTGCCTCCATCTACGGAGCAGCCCTCAGCTGTCAAGTTACACCTCCCACTTGCTCTGCAGGAGCGCGACCCGGGCTGAGCTCCCCAGCGCTCTCCGACACGCTGCTGCTCGGTGAGGACCCCCCCTTTTTGAGAAGAGGTGGGGTGCTGGGCGAGCTCCTGAATTGCATCGAGCAGGGCCAGGGTGCCCGGGGACAGGAAGGGAGGGGGACGGATGCTCCAGCGGCCAGCGGGGGGTGCCCAGCCAAGGAGGGGGTGCTACCCAGGAGCGCGGTCCCTTCCCACAGCCGGGCAGCCGCGGCAAGGCTCACCGTCTTCATGATGAAGGGGGAGCTTCAGCGGATTCTCCAGCAAGGACCTGAGCACGCCGTAGGGTGGCGGGATAAAGGTGGGGTTCAGGGGGAGCGGTCGGGACATTTTCTCCATCGCGATGCACTCAATTTGTTTTTCTTAAAACAATAAAAACCAACCGCCCCCCAAAATGTTGCTGAGCTCGCTCCTCCGTCCTTTGCCAAAAGTACTCGCTTGCAAGGCGGTGGAGACAAGAAAAAAAAAAAAAACTTATTTCTTTATAAATACATCTGCATTAAAAAAAAAAAATAAAGCCAAAAAAAAACTTTCGGGTGCCCAGTGCAGACAGTCCCCCGAGAGCGCGCCAAGCGCCCGCGGGCTCCTCGCGACGTGCAGGATGCTCTCACCTGCCTCGAGCCCCTCGTCTTGCAAAATGTTCAAAATTGCAAAAAAGAAAGAAAAAATATGCACCCGGCTGCAGCAGGGAGGAAGGCACCGAGCCGCCCCGGCCCCGTTGCACCAGCACCCGCGGCCGAGCAGCGGCCCACCCCACCCCCCTCCCCGCGCGCCTGCAGCCGCTGCTCCCCCGCGCTCGGCGGCCCCGCAGCGCTGGGCTCAGCGCATCCGGCGGCCCATGTGCCGCGGCTCTGACAAGAGTGACGTCAGAGCCCGCACCGCGCAGCGATAGGCGTGCGGGGGCGGGGCCAGGCGAGGCCCCGCCCACCGGCCCCGCCCTCCCCATCCTCCCCGCCGCTGCGTGTTTAACGTTGCCGCGCGCGCCGATTTTCCAGCACCTCGCGGTGCTAGCGGGCAGGGAAGTGACTTGGTTCCCTCACCTGGGCCACCCACCTGGGCAGAGAATTCTAGTATCTTCAAGGTGAGAAGAGGCATGAGGGGTTGATCTCGGTAATTTTCATTTATAACCAGGGGAGTTTAAGAAATTCAGATGCCCAGGCTGTAACCCAGATCAATTAAATCAGACCTCTGGGTTGCCCTGAAGGCTGCAGTGGTTCTTAATGTTCCAGTGAGATTTGACAATGACTGGTCAACTGAAGGTAAATATTCTGTTAAATATTTCTCCTGCCTCCAGGCATGTTTAGTACCCACTTTTGTCTTGCGGCTCCCCCAGCCAACAGAAAATAAGGACTTGCTAAAAGTTTTTTTATATATATATATTAATTTTTTAAATTTTTTTTACATCATTGTTCATTTTTAAATAATATTTGCTTCCCCCCCACCCCCTCAGGTGTAGTCCCCATAGAGTTTCCTTCACCAGTGCACCCGTGCACCATCACCTCAGTCCCCTGTGCTCCTCCCTCCCCCACTATGATCCCTCTCCCTCCTCCTCCCCTGCAGGATGTCTCTGGTTTATAATTGTCCGTTTTTGCTTTGTTGTGTTTTGTGCTGTTATTATTTTTTTACACTGATGTCTTACTTGGTTCCTCTATATTCCTGCTGTAAATGAAACCATCCGATATTTTTCTTTTCCTTCTGGCTTATTTCACTGAGCATAATTCCTTCTGGCACCATCCACATTGCTGTGAATGACACGAGTTTATCTTTTTTGATTGCTGAATAAGAAGTTCTAAGGAGATGCAACGAGTACAGTGAAAAGGCGAGCGATGCTATGAGCTGTTTTTTATGCTGTCCAGGGGGTGTTTGTTGGGATATACATTTGCCTGAAATAAATGAGGGCAGGACACACACATGCACATACACATACACACACAGAGTGAATGGGATTTTAGGAATATTTACTCTAGGATAGTACAGGTGATTTTACCTGGGTCAATTTTAACGGGGACCCAGTGTTTTCAGCCATGGCAGCGGCTGCAGCATCTGGCTCTGTCAGTTTGACACCAAGGAGGTGAGGAAATAGTGACTCTCAGAGTGCTTTTAGTACCCTGGGTGGGAGAAGGAACCCCCTGTTAGGGTGGGGGGTGAATGGAAGGGTGAGGGGATGAAGCAACAATATACACACCTGGCGAACTCCAAATGGGTAGGCAAGGTCTTTCTCTTCCTCTCCACATCTCCTCACTAAGATCAGGGTAAGGAGCTGCAAGAAATAGACGTAATTAAATGTTCTTTCAACAAGACAAAGGCCACTGTAAAGATTGTTTTGGGGTGAGATAGGCTGGAGTCTCTGTGGGTTCTACTTCCCTGGAGCATCCCACCAGGGAGGCATCTGGAAGCCAGAAGTCCACAGAAGATGACATGGGCACAGGGAACCCCAAACAGGGTAGCTCCTGGCAGGCTGCAGTTTCCACCTAGAAGGACCCCTACACAGTCAGGTGACCCCTTCATTTCTCCTCTGCCTGATGAGTCCAAGTATCAAAGTGTGGCAATTGTTTCAGAGGTCAGCCTGATTTCAAAATCAGCAGATGTATACCCAGTGCCCTTTGCATTTATTGAGCACCACTGTATGCCAGGGGAATATGTTGGGACTGGGGAGAAAAAGATGGGTAAGACATAATTCTAACCAGCAAAAATGTTATAGTTTAGGGTCTGGCTAATACGCAAATGTTATAATGCAGACTTAAAAGAATAAAAATGGATAGCTGATTTGCACTTGTACTAAGGGTGTGGGGAAGAGGTTCCAGAGAAGTTGACTGAGCTAGATGTGGGGCCAGTGGTCTTTTGTGAACTTGCCAAACCCCTTAATTCTATTATATTGTTGTTTTTTTTTAAGATATATTTATTTATTTATACAAGCACTGGGTACAGTCAGAAGCGCGGGAGGGTGAGAGAATTCACCAGAGCCAGAGCAGGGAGCAGAGCAGGCAGAGGGACCGAAGTACACTGCTGAGGGGAGCAGCGGGAGGCAGGAGAGGCAGGAGAAGTCTGCTCGCCATGTGGGACCTCCCTCTGGTGGCCAGGGAGCAGCCGGGGATCAAACCTGCGCTGCAGAGGCTGCGGGCAGCCTCACAACCCAGCGCTCAACCACTGTGCCACCGGGGAGGCCCTCTATTATATTGTTTTTCACAAAAGAAGAGACTCTTTCTCCACAATCCTTTTAGAGAGGGAGTGGCCATTTGTCTGCCTTCAGTCACCCACATATCTGTAATCCTCATGCTGGGATAGCTGAGGAGCCTCTCAGCCTGCTTAGAAAGAGCTCATTGAATCCAGGTGTGCATAAGGATGGGCGAGTGAGGCTTTGTGTAACAGATCACTAGCATTGCTTAGTACACTGAAGAGGCCCCCTGCTCGTGTTCTCTGCTCTCCTCACATTCCCATGAAATCCTTATCATGTATGAGTTCATATATGAGTTTTCTCAGCATAAACCTTTGCTCTCCACTGAAGGGAACCTTGAAGATTACATTTCTCATTGGAAGTGGGTAAACATGCATCCTGGTGGATCAGCCAGTCTCTTGGGAATTTGGTTCATATGAGTCCTCTGAGCCAGTGGTTATCAACCAGATCAAGGACCAGAGCTTTAGCCCTTGGTGACTCCCTCTCACTTCTCTCTAATTTAGCCTTCTCTAACTTCAAATGTATTGGCAGAGTCTTGAAATTATAATTATAGGCATTGACTAGTTCTCAAATTAGCCCCATCCCTTAACAAAATAGATTTAAATGAGTCTGACCATATAGCTATTTGTAAATCATTTTCCTCTCTTGCCTCCCTGTATCCCTCTTACAAGTTGTGGTGGATGGCTCTCCAGGTGCCAGGGAGGAGAGGGATAAAATGAACACTAAGAGTGTGCCTGTTGCATAGTCAGATCCTCTCAATCCCACAGGCTACTTCTCCAACATATTCTACCAATGAGCACAAATGCCAAACTTCACATACACCCCTAAAATAACAGCTCTTCACCTATACTCAGTACTTGTCCCTTTCAAAGCCCCCCACAACTGTCTATTCACATAGTCCTAACAACTCTGTGAGGAAAGCAATGATTCTGGTTTTCTGTTGCTATGCAAGAAATCACCCCAAAACCTGGTGACTTAAAAGAACAACTATTCTATTATTTCTCATCATTGTGCAGTTTGGCTCAGCCAGTCAGGATTCTGGGGTGTCTGGGATATCTTTCTTTCCATGTAATGTCAAGGTCTCTCGATTTTCACCTGGTCTCCTTACAGGAGGTCTTTCCCTGTGGTCTCTCTGGCAGAGTGGTCAGACTTCTTCCACAGCAGCTCAGGTCTCCCAAGAGCCAGTGATTTGAGATCAGTGCCACTGTGCTGATTAGCAAGACCTTGCTTGCTAATAATGTTCCACTGTCAAAGCAAGATGCACGGCCAAACTTTGAGTCATTATAAGAAGGAACGATATAGGAAGGACATGCAAGTTAAGTGGCATATAGTTCATTGGGGAAGCCCACAAAGTAACAGTCTACCAGTCATTCAATTTTGTCTTCAAATGAAGGCACATGAGATCAGAGCTCTGATGCTGCTGGGAAGAGCCAGGACTTGAATCAGTGTCTTCCGACCAGATATCCAGTGCGTCCTTGGATGAATAAATATCTACTCATTTATGCATTCAATACTAGTTCACAACAACTCTGTATAAAGCTGTAAGTGAAGCGTATACAGAAATCAGAAATAGATGGCGTTGGATGGGAGCGTACAGTCTAGCTGGGGATAAGCCACACGTAACCGCAACACAATGTTGAAAGTAGTCTCCTAAGAAAAACAGGGAAAGACTAGCTAAGAGGTTTGGAGCATAGAGAGATTCTTTTAGAGAAGGGAAACAGCAAGCTTCCTCCAACCAGGATGTTAAGGATCCATAGAATTTGTACAAGCAGATATCAGGTTTAGGCACAAGAAAAAGATTCCAGAAGGGAATGAAATGTGCAAAGACATGAAGAAAAGAAATTGGGTGAATTGGTGGGGGGGTGGAATTTTACGGGGGATACTCCTGAAAGGAGAAAGCATATATTGTATGAAAATAAATGATGATGTAAATAAATGAATGAATGAATTGTCAAGTACAATTTGTGAACATTTTCATTTCTTCTGGATAAATAAATAGGAGTAGAATGATCTTAACATAGGGTAGATATATGCTTTACTTTATAACAAACTGCCAAATGGTTTTCTGCAGCAGGGGAATTATCCTACATTTCCAGCATCCATTGAGAGTTCTGGTTGTTCTGGATTCCAGCTGACATTCGGTGTGGAGGGAGTGGAGAATAGCATCTGGGGAGTGGAGAATAGCATCTCTTCGAGCTTTTCTTTTGAATTTTATTTATTATGAGTGATATCAACCATTTTTCTAGTGTTTATTAGTCTGTTGTGCCTTGGCAAAGTATCTATTCAAGTTCTTGCCATTTTAATTATTTGTCTTTTATTTATTGAAGTAGTTCCATATATACTTAGATACAGGTTCTTTGCCAGATGTGTATGAATTTGTTCCTTCAATCTATGACTGCTGTGAACCTCCTTAACATTATCTTTCCATGAGCAAAAGTTTTTAATTTTGATAAAGTTCAGCTTATCAATTCCATTCATCATTATACTATTTCTGTGAACTAAGAAACTTTTGATTACCCCAAATCTTGGCAATGTTTTAAATTTTTCCACTTTGTTCTATTAACCTAACTCAAATTGATTTTTGTGTATGATATGAGGTAGGGTTCATTCTCTTTCCTCATGGAAAAAAATCTAG